AAAAAAAAAAAAAAAGCACATAACTTAAATGTGAAATGTATTTTAAATAATATTATATTTTAAATGCATAATAATAATAGTAAAATATATTTTAAATATAGTATAATATTATTTAAATTATTATGCATGTAAATTACACAATTTTGTGTAAAACTTTAATGTGGGAAAATTAAATTAATATTAAATTAATTTATAAAATGCACATAAATTGTGTAACTTAAATGTGGAATAGTACAGTTAAAATAATATATATTTTTAAATACAATATAATACTATAGTTTAAATAATATTAAAATATTTATATTTTAAACTAGTTTTTCCACATTAAAAATGTATTACTTAAATGCGTGGAGTAAAATATGAACAGGGCATGTTCCTGATTTTGTGGGATTCACTGTTATGGCACACAAACCACACAATAGAGTGCAGTAGCTCTATTTGCTGTAATGGCTGCATTATCACAGGCACCGGTTATGTATCATCAAACCAGTTATTTTCAGATTGTACTTTGGCTTATGTGTCTTTTTCCAGATTATTTTTAAATAATATTATATTTTAAATGCATAATAATAATAGTAAAATATATTTTAAATATAGTATAATATTATTTAAATTATTATGCATGTAAATTACACAATTTTGTGTAAAACTTTAATGTGGGAAAATTAAATTAATATTAAATTAATTTATAAAATGCACATAAATTGTGTAACTTAAATGTGGAATAGTACAGTTAAAATAATATATATTTTTAAATACAATATAATACTATAGTTTAAATAATATTAAAATATTTATATTTTAAACTAGTTTTTCCACATTAAAAATGTATTACTTAAATGCGGAATATTATATATATATATATATATATTTTTTTTTTTTATATATATTTTTTTGTTTATCATATTATATTTTAAATAATGTTCAAATAAATACTATACAAATTCTAACAAATATTATAATACAAACATTTTACACATCCAAAAAAGCCATTCAGTGGGTTGCCTCATGAGGGCTGTCATGTTTAGATTACATGACCAAATGAATCCTAGTCACTTTTAACAGAAATCTGCTTGTTATGAACACTTTTAGTCATGGAATGTGAGGCTAGGATTTGGCTTAGTGCTGTAACATTTTCTAATGGAAATATATTCCAGCATCTTGAGAAATGGAGAATGCTACCTGCCAAAGAGACCTCCTATCTTTAGCATGTTTTTATCTTTGACAGTTTTTCTCAAGGTCTTCAAACCCTCCTCAGCTCCACTATGGTGACCAATCCTCAGGAAAGGCCCAGAATCAGCTGGATCCTTGACCAGGTCCAGAACCTTCAGGACTCAAACAGTACAGACGTAGATACCAACAGAGTATGATGCTTCCATTGAGATTTCATGTCAGTTTTCCTGTGGACTCTGGGCTTTTTGGACTATGCACTCTCTCTTTCGAACAAAATTAACCAACTGAACTCACAAGCCTTGCAAACATTTGCTCTGTCTTACCTCAGTGAGCTCAGTACACCATGGTCACTCCAGCATGATCACACTAGCCTTCACATCAATGTCTCATATTTCACTCCTGATTTTGTGGGATTCACTGTTATGGCACACAAACCACACAATAGAGTGCAGTAGCTCTATTTGCTGTAATGGCTGCATTATCACAGGCACCGGTTATGTATCATCAAACCAGTTATTTTCAGATTGTGCTTTGGCTTATGTGTCTTTTCCCAGATTTATTAGCTTGTACATTTTAAGGAACCAAAACCAATATATATTTATGAGGGCTTTGATTGGAATTTTAGCTGTTTAAAATGACATTAGTTAGGTTATTTAAACAACAGTTCTGCTGATAAAGCAAGACATCTGAGGTTTTTGTGGGACTTTGTGTTGCAAAGGCCCAAAGACAAAAAGCTGTGTTCCTGCCATTGGACTTCATTTGTGAAACAGATTTCTGACTAAATGGTTAGCAAAATCTTATGTATGTTGTAGCATTGAAAAATTGTTCTGCTCTTGTTTATTGAAGGAAAATGCCTGAAAATGTGTGGATTAAAGAATAAGTAATTTTAAGCAACTGTAGCGCTCAGCTTATATCAGCAAGTGAAAGTGGTGTTAGTTATGCTATGCTCAGTATTTCTTTCAGACTTGGAGAGGATGTATAAAAAAATGGTCATGCCTGTGAAAACTTGTTAATGCTAGTTCACATTACTTTGCAAAAAGGATGCGCCCACTTTTCTTTTTTTAACAGGTACACGTTTCAGTTAGTGTAAGTTTCTTTAATTGCTTACAGTATTAAGGTGTTCTTTAAAGCAACCTTTTAATATATATATTTATATATATATTTTTTTTTATGTATTTAAGTATGCATTTTAATTGAGACAGAAATCCACATGCCTATAAATAATTTCTGCATTCGGTTATTTGTTTATTATGTCTGATAAGGCTCTAGTAGTGAGGATGAATCTCAAAATAATGTCTGGGTCATATTTTATCCCAAATATTTGCAAAATAATAAAAAATTATATTTTGCATACAAATAAATAAAATGAGTCCTGTTTGTTGGATCATTACTTCTTTGGCATTGTGTTCATATGACCCAGGCATGTTTTTAAGAGATATATGCTCTTACATGCTCTTTCATAATTCAGGACTATATTAACTGAAGCATTCCATATATATATTGTATTTGGAATTTTATCTGACCTAAATGTGTTTCTGCTTTTTGTTTGTTTTATTTTTTAACAGCAGTAATTTTCTGATTATTTCAGGGGAAAAAATAAATAAATAAATAAATAAATAAATATATATATATATATAATATTCAGATTCAGCGGTGGCTCTTCTTCATTTTGACGTTGTGTTTCTAAAGGATGTTTTAACTTGCACATGAAATTCTGTTCAGGTTTGCTTCTGTTCAGGAATTCTTAATATTATGCAAGCTTGTTCATTTATAGGATATAAGACTGGAGACGTATCTTGGCATTCATTTACATGTATCTCTTTCCTTTTATAAATGGTGAATAAAGCAGGACTGAAACAGTGACAGATGGAGTCGGTTAGGTTTTCTTGAAGGTTTCATTATCACCACTCGGGGGAGATGTTGCTCCAGTTGTGTTGTGATCTCTAGTGGACAGGCGTCCGCAAACTGAAAACGGGGTTTGGTGAGTATTTATTGACATTTTGTAATGATATTGTTGTTTTTTACATCTGTAGTGATGTGTCTTTGTGCCCCAAAACACAGGTAATACCATGGTGTTTTAGAAACTAATATTGTGTTACACTTCAATGTACTTTGAACTTTTATTCCATATAAATGATGTGGTTCACAAATATATACTGAAATAAATGAACTTTTCCACGACATTCTACTTTATTGAGATGCACCTGTAGTTCCATGCATGGCATATATGAAATTACACTGTATTGCCATCTGATACATCATTTTATAATAGCACTCTGATAGAGTCGGATATACAGTATATATATATATATATAAATTTTTTATTTTCTTTCATGTTCTTTAGACAGACCTTTTGTTTTGGATAAATTAATTCAAAATGTCTCTGCTGCTGACCTGAGGAGGGCATCCAAAAAACAACAACAACAACAAAAAAAACTGATTGATGGCTGGTTCGCTCTCTAACAATGTGATTTTTTTTTTAATGTTGTTTATTTAGTGGCTGACCTTCACAAAAACAGTTTCCTCAATGACCACCTACTGAAAGTCTGATCAAACCCCTGGTCTCCGCTGTTTTGAGGGTATGAAACAATTATTACAGGCTGTTTAGGCACCTGAATTTATGGTCTGTGGGGGTTGTGCGGGTCAAAAGTGACGTTCTGACTCAATGTTCATCATAATCAATCTCATCAATGACCTTATGCCACAGACGTGGGACAGAGAGGCCATAAACTGCATATGGACACACGTTCACCTAAACATCGCCAGTTTCAGACAGCGAATGCAATGCACAGACATAGATACAGTTCCAGTGGGATGAATTAGACTTTAATTAGCATTTCCATCCATGCAAACCATCCCACTTAAGTCCAGTCGGCCCTCTCTGGATAATCATTCATTATACAGAAACAATGTTTATGGTCTGGGGAGCGTGTGGGACTGTCCTCCATTGGCCATCCGTCTCTGCTTTCATGATCCTGCTATGAAATGATGTCATGCTATAGTCCACATCAAGGTCAAACAAAACCTACTGTACCTTTGTTTTGTCTGAGGCTCATATTTTTTAGTATGTTTAATTATATGATGATGGTTAGTGTGATGTTTGCAGACTGACTATATGCATTTATAACATCTTGCATTTCACCCCAACAGACAAAGGATAGATATTTATAGCATAAATAAAGTTTTTCTGCATGGTAACATTATTTTCATGATGATTAAGCATATTTTCCACACAAATCTCATAAATCTCGAAACGTAATGTGCTTAATGTTGTGCTGCATTTTTATTTTATTTTATTAAATTAAAGCATAGAAAAATACTGCCAAGTATGAATACTTCATATAAATAATATATCAGTATTTTTTGCATTATTTTTCCTCCAATTACAGTAATGAGAATTGTAAGAATTGAGAATAACGTCATCATGCAATCAACCAATAAGTAAGTAAAAGAAATAAATAAATGCAAATTAATAAATTTATTTAGCTATTCCATGGTGGTCTATCATGTTGAAACTACATCCATCTGACGTTAATCCGGCTTATCAACTATTTAAACCAGCTAACGATCATGAATGACCAGCTAAAAACTGCATAAAACCATCACCTTAGACTGGTTTTATCTGGATGTTCCAACAGAACATTTTGCTCTTTTGATGTTTGTTAATTACTGGTTGATTACTGGCCAAAAGAGTCTAACCACATGTACTAAAGTTAATGCCTAGTTTTTGTGGTTTGTTCAAATCACTAACTCTGTAGGAATAATAATATTCATGCTTAATAAAAATACATCATTCTGGTTGCAACCAATTGGTCACCTATGCTATACCAACACAATAAACCATCTCCTGCTTTATTGATTTAGTGAGGAATCAATTAGTGAATTATTTAATTAGCCAAGGATTATGGGTCAGTGCCTTTGATCCTCCAGAGTTTCTCTCCTTCAGTAAATCACAGATGTGCCATAAAGGCCACAGGGAGGAGTAGGAAATACAGTGTAAATGCAAAGTTCTGTTGCATTGACTGGATCTTTTTGATTGACACTATTCCTTATTTCTAGGTTTAAATTAGATTTTGAATCCCAGACCATCTTGCTTTATTGGACACCACTGGGTTGAAGTTTACGTCTTTAAAACAGTCATTGTACAATCAGCTATAAATAGCGTTCGCTTCAAGTTTAGGTAGGCCGAGCATTGAAATTAGGCACTAGCGCATAAAAGTAAACATTAGCCGTTTTCTACGTGTACATTCAGAAATCACATCTCAAGGATAGGCCGAATATTTATTGCGGCAAGGAAAAACAAACACGGCCTTTTGCTGACTCCAAGCCAATCATAATCATCGTGACGGGTAGCTAGTCGCTTATCTTGATTATTAAGCCACATTTCGCATCTGTTTGATAGATTTCCCGCAAGCATAATAAATGCCTGTCCCGAACGCAAGCTTGCATTTAAAGAGAAAAGGCTGAGCCTTTTTCAATAAAGTTTATTACTAAAACTTGGCCTTTTTGTGTGTGTTTGAGCTGCGGTTAAAGTCGGGACAGATGTGAATTTATGGGGCCAGTCTCTCATTCTCTTACCTTCCCATTAGCTTAAGTGACACGACAAGGCCGAGGGAAATCTCAAGCAATAAGGGTGATTACTTTAAAAGATCACACAATCTGTTCATATTCCCGTAATGAGTCTGATTGATTAAACTACAGGGTATAAATATTTTACGGGGTCATGTCGCTCAAGTTATTGTCGCTGATTTGCCGGCCGACAGTCACATTTACTTCTTTCACTATGAAACTGACATTTTCATGCGGATAAAAGGGTTGGAGTGGAAAGCGGAGCCATGTATAAAGTCGGGATATGTTTGATGCTAAACGTTCATGACTTTGGGTCAATGGCGTAATGGTTAGAAGATACAGGTAGTCAGCATTTCTGTCCGTCTTGTAGCGTATACAAGTGTACGATAAAACCAACTGAAGCATTTCATTGGATATATGTTCTGCTTAAAAGGCAGATTGAGTGTTTTGCTGTTAATAATACTAATCAACATTTCTGACATGACTAATTATATTAAAGATTTATAGTGGTGTTTGATAAGCCAAGAATCATTATTACTATTTGAATGGTTGGAACACACCCCTAATCCAGTGGTTCTCTATAGTCCCATGAATTGTCTAGTTGATTTACTAGGCAAAGATTAAGGACGGTGATTTAAAAAAAAATTTTTAATAATGTATGATATAATGTATTAAATGAAAAAAAACTGTTGTCGAGAGGGTAAATTAAAACAAGAAATATTGTGATTTTTATGACTTATTTTGCTTGTTTTGTCTTATCTTGTCAAAAGTAAACTTCAGTGTGTAGTTTGTCCCATGCCAATAAATGGCATTTCGGACTACACA